CACAAAGAAGACAGAATCTCAGAACTTGAAGATGAAATGGTAATTAAAGGAAAAACCGAAGAACTATTAATTAAACAACTCAAGACCTGTGAAAAGAAAATGCAAGAACTCACTGACTCCATCAAAAGACCAAACTTGAGAATCATGGGCATCGAAGAAGGAGAAGAGGTGCAAGCGAAGGGAATGCGTAATATATTCAACAAAATAATAACGGAAAATTTCCCAAATCTAGAGAAAGATATTCCCATACAAATGCAAGAGGCCTCCAGGACACCAAACAGACCAGATCAAAATAGAACTACTCCACGACATATCATCATTAAAACAACAAGTTCAGAAACTAAGGAAAGAATATTGAAGGCTGTAAGAGAGAAAAAACAAGTAACATACAAAGGTAAACCCATCAAAATCACAGCAGACTTCTCAACAGAAACATTAAAAGCAAGAAGAGCGTGGGGTGAGATCTTCCGGGCACTGAATGAAAATAACTTCAACCCCAGGATACTCTACCAGCAAAGCTATCATTCAAAATAGATGGAGCAATAAAAGTCTTCCATGATAAGCAGAAACTAAAACAAAATGTGACCACAAAGCCACCATTACAAAAGATTCTGCAAGGGATCCTGCACACAGAAAGTGACACCCAACTTAACCATGAAAAGGCAGGCAGCACCAAACCACAGGATAAGAAAAAGCAAGACAGTAGAGAGTAACATCAAGTTAGGTACACACACTCAAACCTTCAAACAACTAAGACAACTAAATGGCAGGAATCACCACATACCTATCAGTATAACCTTAATGTTAATGGACTTAATTCACCCATCAAAAGACACCGTTTGACAAAATGGATTAAAAAAGAAGATCCAACAATTTGTTGCTTACAGGAGACTCATCTCACCGACAGAAATAAGCATATGCTTAGGATGAAAGGCTGGAAGAAGATTTACCAAGCCAATGGCCCCCGAAAACAGCAGGAGTAGCAATACTTATCTCTGACAAAGTAGACTTCAAACCTACATTGATCAAACGAGATAAAGAAGGACATTCCATACTAATAAAAGGGGAAATAGACCAAAAGGAAACAATAATCATCAATCTGTACGCACCCAATGTCAACGCACCCAATTTCATCAAACATACCCTGAAAGACCTAAAAGCATATATAAACGCCAACACAGTGGTTGTGGGAGACTTTAACACCATTATCATCAATAGATAGGTCATCCAAACAAAAACTCAATAAAGAAATCCAAGATCTAAAATATGCAATAGATCAAGTGGACCTAGTAGATGTCTACAGAACATTTCATCCAACCTCTACACAATATACATTCTTCTCAGCAGCCCATGGAACCTTCTCCAAAATAGATCATATCCTAGGGCACAAAGCAAGCCTCAGCAAATATAAGAAAATAGAAATAATACCGTGCATACTATCTGACCACAATGCAGTAAAAGTAGAACTCAACAACAAAAGTAAAGACAAAAAACATGCAAACAGCTGGAACTAAATAACTCATTACTTAATGAAGAATGGATCATCGATGCAATAAAAGAGGAAATTAAAAAGTTCCTGAAGTCAATGAAAATGAAAACAAACCTACCGGAACCTATGGGACACAGCTAAGGCAGTCTTGAGAGGAAAGTTTATAGCCATGAGTGCATATATTAAAAAGATTGAAAGATCCCAAATCAATGACCTAATGATACATCTCAAACTCCTAGAAAAACAAGAACAAGCAAATCCCAAAAAAATAGAAGGAGAGAAATAATAAAAATAAGAGCTGAAATCAACGAAATAGAAACCAAAAAAACCATACAAAGAATTAATGAAACAAAAAGTTGGTTCTTTGAAAAAATAAACAAGATCGATAGACCCCTGGCAAACCTGACTAAAATGAGGAGAGAAAAACCCAAATTAGTAGAATCAGGAATGCAAAAGGGGAGATAACAACAAACACCATGGAAGTCCAGGAAATCATCAGAGACTACTTTGAGAACCTATATTCAAATAAATTTGAAAATCTAAAAGAAATGGACAGATTTCTAGATACATATGATCATCCAAAACTGAACCAAGAGGAAATTAATCACCTGAATAGACCTATAACACAAAATGAAATTGAAGCAGCAATCAAGAGTCTCCCAAAAAGAAAAGTCCAGGACCTGATGGATTCTCTGCTGAATTCTATCAGACCTTTAAAGAAGAACTGATACCAACCCTCCTTAAACTGTTCCATGAAATAGAAAGGGAAGGAAAACTGCCAAACACATTTTATGAAGCCAGTATTACACTTATCCCAAAACCAGGCAAAGACACCTCCAAAAAGGAGAACTATAGGCCAATCTCCTTAATGAACATTGATGCAAAAATCCTCAACAAAATAATGGCAAACCGAATTCAGCAACACATCAAAAAGATTATTCACCACGACCAGTAGGCTTCATCCAGGGATGCAGGGGTGGTTCAACATACGAAAATCAATAAACGTAATAAACCACATTAACAGAAGCAAAGAAAAAACCTTGATCATGATGCAGAAAAAGCCTTTGATAAGATCCAACATCATTTCATGATAAAAGCTCTAAGAAAACTAGGAATAGAAGGAAAGTTCCTCAACATTATAAAAGCTATATATGACAAACCTACAGCCAGCATTATACTTAACGGAGAAAAATTAAAAATTCCCTCTAAAATCAGGAACCAGACAAGGATGCCCACTATCTCCACTCCTATTCAACATAGTACTGGAATTCCTAGCCAGAGCAATTAGGCAAGAAGAAGGAATAAAAGGAATACAAATAGGTAAAGAAACTGTCAAAATATCCCTATTTGCAGATGACATGATCCTATACCTTAAAGACCCAAAAAACTCTACTCAGAAGCTTCTAGACATCATCAAGCTATAGCAAGGTAGCAGGATATAAAATCAACATAGAAAAATCATTAGCATTTCTATACACTAACAATGAGCAAACGGAAAAAGAATGTATGAAAACAATTCCATTTACAATAGCCTCAAAAAAATCAAATACCTAGGTGTAAACCTAACAAAAGATGTGAAAGACTCTACAAGGAAAACTATACACTTCTGAAGAAAGAGATTGAGGAAGACTATAGAAAGTGGAGAGATCTCCCATGCTCATGGATTGGTAGAATCAACATAGTAAAAATGTCGATACTCCCAAAAGTAATCTACATGTTTAATGCAATTCCCAAAAATTCCAATGACATTCATTAAAGAGATTGAAAAATCTACTGTGAAATTTATATGGAAACACAAGAGGCCACGAATAGCCAAGGCAATACTCAGTCAAAAGAACAATGCAGGAGGTATCACAATACCTGACTTCAAACTATATTACAAAGCAATAACAATAAAAACAGCATGGTACTGGCACAAAAACAGACATGAAGACCAGTGGAACAGAATAGAGGATCCAGATATGAAGCCACACAACTATAGCAACTTATCTTTGACAAAGGAGCTAAAAATATACGATGGAGAAATAGCAGCCTCTTCAACAAAAACTGCTGGGAAAACTGGTTAGCAGTCTGCAAAAACTGAAACTAGATCCATGTATATCACCCTATACCAAGATTAACTCAAAATGGATCAAGGATCTTAATATCAGACCCCAAACTCTTAAGTTGATACAAGAAAGAGTAGGAAATACTCTGGAGTTAGTAGGTATAGGTAAGAACTTTCTCAATGAAACCCAGCAGCACAGCAACTAAGAGATAGCATAGATAAATGGGACCTCATAAAACTAAAAAGCTTCTGTTCATCAAAAGAAATGGTCTCTAAACTGAAGAGAACACCCACAGAGTGGGAGAAAATATTTGCCAATATACATCAGACAAAGGACTGATAACCAGAATATACAGGGAACTTAAAAAACTAAATTCTCCCAAAACTAATGAACCAATAAAGAAATGGGCATGTGAACTAAACAGAACTTTCTCAAAAGAAGAAATTCAAATGGCCAAAACACATGAAAAAATGCTCACCATCTCTAGCAATAAAGGAAATGCAAATTAAAACCACACTAAGATTCCACCTCACCCCTGTTAGAATAGCCATCATCAGCAACACCACCAACAACAGGTGTTGGCGAGGATGCGGGGAAAAAGGAACCCTCTTACACTGTTGGTGGGAATGTAGACTAGTACAACCACTCTGGAAAAAAATTTGGAGGCTACTTAAAAAGCTGGACATCGATCTACCATTTGATCCAGCAATACCACTCTTGGGGATATACCCAAAAGACTGTTACTCCAGAGGCACCTGCACATCCATGTTTATTGCGGCACTATTCACAATAGCCAAGTTATGGAAACAGCCAAGATGCCCCAGCACTGACGAATGGATTAAGAAAATGTGGTATCTATACACAATGGAATTTATGCAGCCATGAAGAAGAACGAAATGTTATCATTCGCTGGTAATGGATGGAATTGGAGAACATCATTCTGAGTGAGGTTAGCCTGGCTCAAAAGACCAAAAATCGTATGTTCTCCCCTCATATGTGGACATTAGATCAAGGGCAACACAACAAGGGGATTGGACTATGAGCACATGATAAAAGCGAGAGCACACAAGGGAGGGGTGAGGATAGGTAAGACACCTAAAAAACTAGCTAGCATTTGTTGCCCTTAACGCAGAGAAACTAAGCAGATACCTTAAAGCAACTGAGGCCAATAGGAAAAGGGGACCAGGAACTAGAGAAAAGGTTAGATCAAAAAGAATTAACCTAGAAGGTAACACCACACACAGGAAATCAATGTGAGTCAATGCCCTGTATAGCTATCCTTATCTCAACCAGCAAAACCCCTTGTTCCTTCCTATTATTGCTTATACTCTCTCTACAACAAAATTAGAGATAAGGGCAAAATAGTTTCTGCTGGGTATTGAGGGGGGGAGCGGGAGGGGGTGGAGTGGGTGGTAAGGGAGGGGGTGGGGGCAGGGGGGAGAAATGAACCAATCCTTGTATGCACATATGAATAATAAAAGAAAAATGAAAAAAAAAAAAAAAAAAAAAGTCTCTTATGGTACATGTAGGATGGGAACCCAAGTCTTTTAGTTTCTTTGCCCTAAGCATTGCCTTCCTATTATAATTACTTAGGAAAGGTGACATTTATATGCTTAGTTTGGAGTTGATCTTGTTTGTTTGTCTGACAGGGGTCATTGTTTTTTCATTTTATAGGGTACACATGATTCATTTCACCCACACTGCAGACCCTTGGATTATCTAGTCCTGCTACTCCCTTTCTGACCAGTTAGAATTAAATCCTGACTTTTCAAGGCCTAATAAAAAGTATACCTGGAATGATGTTGGGCAGCTAGTAGAAAAACTGAAAAAGGAGTGGAATATTCTTTGTATTACAGATGTTGTCTACAACCATACTGGTATGAGCTTCATTAATTTTGATAAGAATAGTAAATTCTGTTTATTTCATTCCTTGACATTTTTATTTCATTTTACATTATTAATTTTTTTAAGTGTGTGTGTGTGTGTGTGTTTCAAGAGCTCAAAACCAATGTAGAAAGTTGGGAAACCACTGATTTGTATGTGAATTACAGGAATTCTGACTGTACAAAATTTTTAAAGAAATATCTGCTATTTCAGAGAGTATTTTCCAAGTAACCATAGGCATTATGAAGCCATTTAAGAGCTTATAGAGTTGGTTTATCAATATAAATAATAATCTCAATTTGTAATGAATTTAGGTTTAAAAAACCAAATAGATACCTTCTAAATTTAGTGTTTCTGTATGCATCTGGAAACCAAGTTTCAAAATCTATAGTGAAAACTAAATCAGTGCTTCAATATTTATAATTTGAAAACTTACAGTATTGATATTATTACGAGAACACGATGCACATCGGGTTTCTCACACTACATAATAGCCCTGTGGTAGGTGCACGTTGTAGGAGTTAGAATACAGCTTAGGCAGGTACAAAAAAGAAGCAGAAATATAGTGACCTAATCAAGGTCCAGACTGTATTTACCTCTCATAGAAGATTAGGAAAGCATTCTAGTACTAGACTAGTTGCTCAGTGGTGTGGGGAGCTGGATTCTTTCTCATGCTATTCTGCTGCCTCCAACACTTTACCTCCATCTTTTAATCAGATATGGCTGCTCCAGCTCCTGAATCATAGACCATCCAGTAGGCATGGGTAAAGGGAAGCCATCCCTTTTAAGGGCATGATCGAGTATATGTATTTCTTCTACTAACATTGCATTAGCTAAGATTTGTCTCTTCTCACACCTGTCTATAAAGGAGACTGGCAATGTTGTCTTTTATTTGCCAGCCATGTGTACAGCTGGACCTAGGGAGTTCTATTACTAAAGGAAAGAAGAATGAAAACTGAGATTGGTAGCAGTCTCTCTGCCTCAAATGCTTCTACATGCTATAAAAGAAGTCAGTTTTGCCATAGCCTTACTTTCTAAGCCTTACTCGGAAAGTGCTGTGAATCATAGTATCCCTTCTTCAATACAAGATTTCATTTTAAAATTTGCTATGCAGGGAGAGTCAGCTTCCAGAATTGGCAGCAAGAGAGCCTCACATAGCCTCCACTCAGTGAAATGCTGAAAATTATCTTAAAAGCATCATTTGCTTAGCCTACTAAGAACATTTAGCATATGGAGAAACATGAAAACCAGCTAATGAGAACGTTCTAAATCTTGGTGCGGGAGGGTAAGGGAGGGTGCAGGGAGAAGGGGGGAGAAATGGCCCAAACATTGTATGCACATATGAATAAAATAAAAATTAAAAATTAAAAAATCTTGGTAAGAACAGCAAGAGTCTGTGGCATCACAGCCAAGACCTGCCCAGCAGCTCTGTTGTGAAGTCCTCGCCCAGGTGCTATACTCCTCCAAAATGGAGACTCTGTATCCTCGAATCCTGGTCTGTGGTTCTAGTTTCACTCTTGCAGGGCAGGCTCATATGTTTCTCATTCCCCCAGTCCCATGTTGATTCAAGTTTCATTCTAGATGGCAGTTTCCTTGATCCACCCAGTTCCCATTTGCAGGTGAATGTCCTACTCCAGGATTGGCAAGTCACAGAGTCCAGTCAACCTTGAGCAGGTCTTCCTTCAAATGCTACAGACTTGCTCTTCTTTTGGATGCTTCTCTACATGCTGAATGCCCTAAGGATGAGTTCCAAAGACTTGAAATGATTGTTTTTATAATATTCACCAGTTGGATTGTTTTGCTGGGGAGGATACTTGCTGTTCCTTACTGCACCACTCCAGAAGCCCTAATTAGTTTTTAATTTTGATGTATATCAAAACAGTTTGGAGTTTCTTCTTCCACGTAGAATTAGAAAAAAATACTTTCATTACATAATATTTAGAATTCTTTCATTCAATGATTGATTTTTCTTCAAATATTGATAAAAGAAACAGTTTCAGGATTTTACCCTTAAAAGAAGGAAGATGTGGTAGCACCCAGCACTCAAAAGGCTGAGGCGGTAGGATCGCTCAAGCTACTTATTCAAGTCCAGCCTGGGCGACACAGCAAGGCTTCTCTTTATTTTTTAACTTTCCTGTCTTTGTGCATGTGTGGTGCTGGGGATCGATCTCAGGACCACAAGTGTGCTAGATAAGCGTTCTATTCCTGCCTATATCCCCAGACCGGAAAGTGAAAATCCTAATTGGATGTGGTCGTCACTAATTTTATCTTGTAATGGATGCCTTAAGCTTCAGTGCATGGGAGCATTAGTCTAGGGGCGGTATCTTGATGCAGATTTTGAAAATTATCAACTTAACTTCTGCTTTCTTATGTGTCCTGTCTTTATCCAAGTGTTTGCTCATTGTAGGTGTAAGTAAGCACTAAATGAATAAACTACTTGCTAAATAAGTGACAAACTGTGTGTGCCCAACTGAGAAAACAAGGCATGAATACATGCATCTCAGCAGCAGAGCAAAGTGGTTACGATGACAGATTCTGAACAGAGACCTGTCCAGTTGATTCCTAGCCATATGGCTTTGCTGAGTTATTATCTCTTTGTGCCTCGGTTCCTCATCTCTTACAGGAACATAGTAGTAAGCTCTCTCTTGTGTGGCAGGAAATGGGGAATATACACAATTTATTTGAGCTTTAAGAGGAGTGTGTAAGTTTTGTCATTTAAAAAAATCACATTATCTTTACTGTGATAAGTACTTGGAATACCTTGTGAGTTCCTGAATCTAATTCTGAATTCACCAACACAGATGGGTAATCAGATATAACTACACCCTTATTCCTTGAGTGTAGTTTTCTTGGCAGCTTCTCAACCTCACTTTTACCAATCTTACCAAAGCTCCATATTTTATTAATCCTTTACAATTATCTGTGCAAAGGGGTTGCCTATGAGAGAACTGATTTTGCTTTCATCAGGATTTTTCTAAACCGTATTAAAGTTTAAAAAAAAGTATGATGAAGTAGATTGATACAGAATAGTATAACCCAAGAAAAAAATTTTATATGATGGTATCATTTCAAAATATTAATGTCTGATTTAGAAGAAAATGAATGGGAGATGTTAATATTTTATTTCCCCATTAAGCAACATAGATACTATCTTCAAGTTAACTCTATAATATTCATGGCAATTACAAGATGTGTGTTTCCTTTTCCTTTAAGCTGCTAATAGTAAGTGGATCCAGGAACACCCAGAGTCAGCGTATAATCTTGTGAACTCTCCTCACTTAAAACCTGCCTGGGTCTTAGACAGAGCACTTTGGCACTTCTCCTGCGATGTGGCAGATGGGAGGTACAGAGAAAGAGGAATTCCTGCCTTGATTGAAAATGATCAACATATGAATGTGAGTGTGTATGGAGGAGTACCATAGCAAACCAGGATAACAGAATTTCTAAAGTCTGAATTAAATATGTGGCTGAAAATTTTTAGAATCTGTAATACAGTATTTTGTGAAAGATTTTACACATATTTCATGTTCACATTTTCAGTGCATTCGGAAAATCATGTGGGAGGACATTTTTCCAAAGCTTCATCTCTGGGAATTTTTCCAAGTAGATGTTCACAAATCAGTCGAGCAATTTAGAAGACTTCTCACACAAGGTAAAGGATATACACCAGACTGTCCCTATCAATCTTAAGAAATTTAATATTACTCTTAAAAGGAGAACTTTTTGTTTTAGACTTTTGTCTTTCAGGTGGTACTGGGGTTTGAACTTAGGGCCTCACAGTTGCTAGGTAGACGCTCTACCACACTCCCAAACCTTAATTCAGGAATTTTTAAACTAACTTTCCTTCATGTTTCACTTTACCAAGGAGCCTCTTATCCTTAGTAAGCTATGTTACTTATATGCAATATAATGTATTCATTGTAAATTTAAAAACCCAAACAGTTCAAAAACACAATAAAATACATTATGTACTGAGTGTGGTGGCACACTTCTATAATCATAGCTAATCTGGAATGTGAAGCAGGAGAATCTCAAGTTTGAGACAAGCCTGGGTAACTTAATGAGAACCTGTCTCAAAATAAAATTTTTTAAAAGGGCTGGCAGTATAGCTCAATGAAAGAGTGCTTGCCTACCACTCATCCCCAGAACCACAAAAAAAAAAAAAAAAAAAAAAAAGAGTGTGACTTCCCCTCCCCCAAAACCCACTTTTTTTTTTTTTTTTTTTTTTTTTGGCAATTCTAGGACTTGACTGCAGGGCCTCACTCTTGCTAAGAAGACACTCTACCACTTAGCCAGTCTACCAGCCCTGTTTTTGTGTTCTGTATTTTCGAGATAGGTTCTCACTGTTTGCCCTGGCTGGCTTCAAACGGCAATCCTCCTGATTTCTGCTTCCCAAGTAGCTAGGATTACAGGCGTGAGCCACCCATGCCCAGCCCAAAACCCACTTTTAAAGGGAACTACTAATTGCTACTTTATGCTTCTTTTCAAACTCTTTTTCAAAGAAATTCAAATTTTATTTATCGTTTTATATAATTCTCCATATAAATTAAACACGTAAATTTTAGATATGAAATTTTTATATGTACAAACAAGACTAGGTCATAAACTGTTTAATTTATTCTTTTCATTGACAATAGGAATTTGTTACTTCTTTTAATTATTTCTTTTAATCCCTGTGTAGCTACAATGTTTTAGAATACTTGAATTTATTTAACTAGTCTTTTTGACAGGTTATTTCCGGTTTTTTCATTGTTCTTTCAACTGTACATATTTACTGCACAATGTGGTAGATTGTAGACACTCTTCAGGGGGATGATTCAGTGTGAAGTCCTTGCTTGTGACACTTAGATTCTTAAGGGCAGCACTGTCTATCCTGTAGAATATTTGTAGCACCCAGGAAGAAAATGCTTACCACCAAAATCCTTAATGCCCTGAAAAGTGAGTAAGTGAATAAGTGAATGTTGACAAAGGCAGAGAAGTGGGACTGAGGTTGAAGGAATCCCTGTGTTTTCTCTTACAATATTCTGTCTTTCTGTGTGTTCTCCCTCCTGTATGTGTGTGAGGGTGTGTGAGTACACAAATGTGTGTTTATGAGTATGTGTGCAAGTGTATGTGAATATGTGAGTGTGCATGAATGCCTGTGTGTGAGTGTGTGTGTGTGCCTGAGTGAGTTTGGTGATACGCAGGAGAGGAGGTAAAAAGGATACTTGTGCAATAAGTTTATGTTTTATTTCCCTATGAAATACTTATATGCTAAAAATTTAAAATCAGTGAGTTTAAGATCTTTTCCAGTGAGGCATGGTGGTACACGCCTGTAATTCAGTCTACTCAGGAGGTGGAGATTGGAGAATCGGGGTTCAAGGCCAGCCCAGGCAAAAGTTAGTGAGACCATATTTCAAAAACAAGCCATTCATGGTAGTTCATTGCTGTAATCCCAGCTACTTGGGAGGTAGAGGTATTAGGATCACTGTATGAGGGCAGCTGGGGCAAAAGCACAAAACCCTATCTGAAAAATAACCAAAGCAAAAGGACTGGGGTCATTGTTCAAGTGGTAGAGCACCTGCCTAGTAAGCACAAGTGCCCCAGTACTGTGTCCAGTCACTAGTACTGGAAAAAGCAAAAATCATCGTTTCTTTCTTTCAGAAAATAGACAAGTAACCAAGTCTGATCCACAGAAACATCTAGAGATTATTCAGGACCCGGAATACCGACGGCTCGGCTGTACTGTAGACATGAATGTCGCACTGGCAACTTTCATCCCTCATAAGTATGTTCTGGATTTGTCCTGGCTAGAGCATGGCTTGAGTTAGAGCACTTACCTAGCAAGTGCAAACCCCGGTACCCACAAATCTTTGTGAGTAGTGTGATTGTCATACTGTTTATTAAAACCCTTCGTAGAAAATGAAATCAAGTAATGGGCCATGTACTGCTTTAACACCTGACCTTCTCCCACTCTTCCTGTGTGCCCTGCCGTCTTCTGTGCATGTGTGAGAAAGTGCTCAGTCATACTGAAGATCCTAACCATTATATTTAGGGTTTCTGTGACCTTTGGTAGAAAATGTTAAATGTAGGTTTGTAAAACCACCAAATAAATTTGTATCACTCTGTCTGCTCTAGCCATGGGCCAGCCGCAGTTGAAGAATGCTGCAATTGGTTCTGTAAGAGAATTGAAGAGCTGAATTCAGAAAAGCATCAACTAGTGAACTGTCATCAGGAACAGGTTTACCACATTTGAACTGCTGTCTGTGTTTGGTTTTAGTTCTGTTTTGTTGTTGTTATGGATGACCATGTAATATACGTTCGTTTTCCAGGCAGTCAATTGCCTTTTGGGAAACGTGTTTTATGAACGACTGGCTGGCCATGGCCCTAAACTAGGACCTGTCACTAGGAAACATCCCTTGGTGACCAGGTATTCCATTTTTATTTTCTTCTTGTCAATGGATAAAAATTGGAAATTGTATTTAACTTTTCAAATTAACCTAGTGTCTCCCTTAAGGTAGGACTTCAGTACATCTCTTAAATTGAAATAGTTTTGATTCAAAAGTAGGCTTAACTGGCCCAAAAGACCAAAAATCGTATGTTCTCCCTCATATGTGGACATTAGATCAAGGGCAAACACAACAAGGGGATTGGACTATGAGCACATGATAAAAGCGAGAGCACACAAGGGAGGGGTGAGGATAGGTAAGACACCTAAAAAACTAGCTAGCATTTGTTGCCCTTAATGCAGAGAAACTAAAGCAGATACCTTAAAGCAACTGAGGCCAATAGGAAAAGGGGACCAGGAACTAGAGAAAAGGTTAGATCAAAAAGAATTAACATAGAAGGTAACACCCACGCACAGGAAATCAAAGTGAGTCAATGCCCTGTATAGCTATCCTTATCTCAACCAGCAAAACCTCTTGTTCCTTCCTATTATTGCTTATACTCTCTCTACAACAAAATTAGAGATAAGGGCAAAATAGTTTCTGCTGGGTATTGAGGGGGGGGGGAGCGGGAGGGGGTGGAGTGGGTGGTAAGGGAGGGGGTGGGGGCAGGGGGGAGAAATGAACCAAGCCTTGTATGCACATATGAATAATAAAAGAAAAATGAAAAAAAAAAGTAGGCTTAATATTACTTAACTTTGTGAGATAAATCTTTTGTTAGAAAAACTATCAGTATGAACCAGTTGTAGTTATTTTCTTTAATGTTTTTGGAGACTACCTATTTAGTGTCTTAGTGTGTTTTCTCTTGCTGGAACAGAATGCCTGAGACTGGGTAAATTTATAAAGAAACAAGGTTTAATTTAGACCAGGGTTCTAGAGATGGGAAAGACCTAAGAGCCTGACAGCAGAATCTGCTCTGCTTCTGGAACGAGCTCTACACTGCATCGTAGATGGCAGGAAATGGTGGCAAGTGAGCACATGCAGGAGAGACAAAGCATGAGGACACCCACATTTCTAGGACCCTGCTGTTGTGACAGCTCCTTCAGTCCCTCAAGAACAAGAGCATATTCATCAGAGAGAGGCATTAATCCGTTCATGAGGCTGCGTTTCCATGTCCCAAACTCCTACCAGGCCCATACCTCCCAACACTGGCACATTAAGGACTTAAGTTTCCATGCCAGGCATGGCCATGCATGTCCTAATTCCAGCACTCAGGAAGCAGAGGTAGGAGGGTCATGAGTTTGAGACCAGCCTGGACTATATAGTGAGGAAGGAAGGAAGTGGGTAGAGAAAAAGGGAGAGAAGTAGAAAAGGAAGGGAAGGAAGTGAGGAGGGAAGGGAAGGGAAGAAAGGAAAGAAGGGAAGGAGGGACGAAGAGGAGAAAAAGAGGAATTAAGGTTCCAACACATGAATTTTTGGGAGACACCCTCAAACTATACCACTTAGTCAATTCAGTGTCAGTTAAACTGAACAACCACCTAGCTTCTTACTTGTGCAGCTTAAATTGGGTGATTAGGAGGTGGTAAAAGCCTTTGCAAAAAGTAACATCAGCACCTCAGTGATTTTCTTGTAATTTTATGAGATTTTAAAAATTATTTAAAGTGTTAGTCATAAGGCTACAATATTAACTCTCCATTCTTCAGTTCTTGCTAGATTTACTCAGCCCACTGATGATCTTTAACCTGTCATAAAGCTCATTGTCTTCTGTAAATGATATCAGTTTGTTTTATTTATCATACTTATTAGGAAAGGAATTTCTCTGTGTGCATTTAATTTTTATTCTATCTCCCTAGGTATTTTACTTTCCCATTTGAAGAAATGGCCTCCTCTACAGAAGAAGCTATGATTCACCTCCCAAACAAAGCTTGCTTTCTGATGGCACATAACGGATGGGTGATGGGAGATGATCCCCTTCGAAACTTTGCTGAGCCAGGTGCCCACCTTTCACTTCTCTATGCACAGCGAAAGGAGAGTTCTTGGGGAGCTCAAATGATGATTTGCTTTTTTCCCTCTCAGCTTGTGGTTTTTAAGCTGTTTCACCAGCAGTATCCAGGGTGCACCAGTGTGAGAGAGAAGAGAAGGAACTGACAAAAGGGACTTAGGTCCCTTCTCTACCCCCTCATCTTCTCAAACTGAATAGCCCTTATGTATCTATTTTCCATGTTGTGGGTCTGCATATTGGAGCAGAATGTTATTCTATTGCCTTTTGTAAAAGAACTTGGAAACCGCTGCGGTTACAGTGACATCACCATAAGAGGCATTGTCATTCACTGACCAGGCCTCTGAAAGGGCCTCTAGAAAGTAGTTGTTTTCAGAGTCTCCCTCACTACTCTCAGCATCTTTTTCCTACAGCTATTTTTTGCCAAGAAACCTTTTGCAGGAGAGCCACTGATTGATACAGGTTACAGAATATTTCAGGACTGGGAATTTATTTTAGTGACATTAAAGTTAATTCAGAAATCTGTTTTTGGCGGAGTGGCTTAAGTGGTAGAGTGCCTGCTTAGCAAGAGCAAGGCCCTGAATTCAAACCCCAGTAACCACCGAAAAAAAGAAAAAGATCAAAGCCAACGTGGGTTAGACTTAGGGTAACACATTAAAAGATCACTGATACTGCCATCAATCTTTTCCCTTAAGAAGCAACTTGAATTTTTGAAATTGTGCCCACATGATTAGAAGACACTATAAGCTAGAATTTTTGCAAAATAGAAATAAGATATAAACTAATATTAATTTTTTAAAAACATTTCTTTGTTGTTTTGCAGGGCTCAGAACTGAATGAGTGCCTCACACATGCAAGTGCTTTACCTCTTAGCTATATCCCCAGCCCCATTTTAGATACAGTTTTAAGCAATATGTCATTTGTGGTAGAAATAACACAGTTTTAAAACAGCAGGTTTTTCCCTGAATTGTTTTCATTATGTTTCATAAACCATTGAAAGCATAATTCTTTTTTTTTTTAATTTTTATTTTTTTATTATTCATATGTGCATACAAGGCTTGGGTCATTTCTCCCCCCTGCCCCCGCCCCCTCCCTTACCACCCACTCCACCCCCTCCCTCTCCCCCACACCCCCTCAATACCCAGCAGAAACTATTTTGCCCTTATTTCTAATTTTGTTGAAGAGAGAGTATAAGCAATAATAGGAAGGAACAAGGGGTTTTGCTGGTTGAGATAAGGATAGCTATACAGGGCATTGACTCACATTGATTTCCTGTGCGTGGGTGTTACCTTCTAGGTTAATTCTTTTTGATCTAACCTTTTCTCTAGTTCCTGGTCCCCTTCTCCTACTGGCCTCAGTGAAAGCATAATTCTTTCTTAACAGGCTCAAATGTGTATTTAAGGAGAGAACTTATTTGCTGGGGAGACAGTGTTAAGTTGCGCTATGGGAATAAACCAGAGGACTGTCCTTATCTTTGGGCGCACATGAAAAAATACACTGAGATAACCGCGACTTATTTCCAGGGAGTACGTCTGGACAACTGCCACTCCACGCCTCTCCATGTAGCCGAGGTACAGAAAGACAATTCATCCACATTAAAAGACATAAGTCAGCCTTCTTTCTATAACTTCCTTAAACAGGCAATACAGATATATGTCTCATTCTGCAGTGATTTTGCAATACTTAACACATTCTCACACAATTTACCAAAGTCTAACAATGTTTAGACACAATTTTTATGAAATACTAGGCTATAAAACATTTAACAAGTTATTTTTTAATCTTCATTTAGGGAAGTTGGTCATATTTGTCTCTGGTAACATCTATCATAACTATGTTGCCTATTGGTAGTATATAAAATACTATCTTGTTTTTAGATTATTTTTCTGTAGCAGGGCACCAGTGGCTAAGGTTACTGGCCTGAGATCAGGAGGACTGAGGCTCAAGGGCAGCCCAGGCAAATATGGGAAGAGCACGTCTCCAAAACAACCAGAGCAAAATGGCCTAGAGGGGTGACTCAAGCAGTGGAGCACCTGCTTTGCAAGTTAAAGGCCCTGAGTTCAAACTCCAGTCCTACCTTATAAAAAAAAAAAAAAAGATAGATTATTTTTTATATATAAGTAGCCAATGTAAAATTGTGTAGTTTATTATATATTGCAGTGATTTTTTTAAACTTAATTTAATTTTTTATTTTTATTTTCTTGCAGTGCTGGGGATCAAACCCAGGGCCTCACATATGCAGGATAAACACTACCACTAAACTTTACCCCCAGCCCTTATAGTGATTATTTTAACACCAGCATTGAGGCCTAGTTTTGGCTTCATTGATTCAATTTTTTATCATTATTTATAAAAATACAAATGTGAACAAACTGTTGTCCATTCCTTTTCAGGTTTTTTAAAGCAGTCTTTGAACAATGCCAGTATTCATACTATTACCTTCTACCTAATAAAACTTTGTAAATAAACACATGATTTTCTTCCTGCTTATAAGATCTTTAATACCTTCCTAGTAACAACTTAGTGTTTTTGAAAAGATGTGCTTATCTGAAAAATATCTACTTCTATTATGTACATGCAGTATTACATATGCTTTAAGTCCTGTGATGAAAACTTGCTTTTCTTTCTGTAATCTTGAAAAATTTTTTAAATTTTTTAATTTTATTCTTGAACCAAGGGTACATTGTGACATTTACAAAAGTTCTTACAATATATCATAGTTAAATTCACTCCCTCCATCATTCTCTTTTATCCTCCCTCCCCTAACTAAAAAATTGCTTTGATTTAGAATTTAGTAATAAATACTGGTTAAGCTGGTAGAAAATGTTTAGCTCCAAAAATGGTAGAAGGCCTTTTCTAAATTGTGCCTTAGCAATAGCAAGAAAACAAAACTGAACTGAAAACATACTTGTAACATTGTTATAACATTAAGGCAAAACTGAATATTGAAATTTAATTTTCCTAATTTTTAATTAAAAAGTCCTCTAGGATTCTACTTGCTAGCTGATAGAATTTCAGGTATTTTATTAACCTTTGTGTGCATGTTACATCAAAAAAAATGAAACCAATCTCATTTCTGATCATAAGCCAATATATTCTGATTCTCAGCTAGAAAGTTAGCACCAATGTGGACACTGTAAGGTGTAGAATTTAAGAGTATATTATATGTAGACTTTAGTTTGTCCACTCAGACCCAACATTTGCAATAGCTAAATAATCCACCAGCAGGGAATTTATCAGTAATGACTTAATCAAACACCTGGAAATTTGCCGTCTAGCATTGAAAAAACAAAAAAGAGGGAGAAAGACTGGCAGAATTACAGTGCTACAAATTACATTTTTAATGACATTAACATTTTTCTCCTTTTTTTCTCCCTGTGTCCCTGTGTCTTTGCAAAATCTAATCTTCCTTTTTTTTCTGTTATGTTCTATGAATTCTCTTGTTCCCTGTGTGTATCAATCTGTTTGATGTTATCTTACATGTGTACAACAAAATTTATTTGGGAATTCATTCTGCACTTCTGTTTTGCCTTGCTACCTATCTATGTCAAATCTGCACCTAGCCCTGCCTCCCCCTTCCTCTCCATCTTTCTCCTCTCTTACACCTGTGACTGTGCCTTTGCAGTACATGTTGGATGCTGCGCGGAAATTGCAGCCCAATTTATATGTAGTGGCTGAGCTGTTCACAGGAAGCGAAGAGCTGGACAATATCTTTGTCACTAGACTGGGCATTAGTTCCTTAATCAGAGGTAGGCTTGACGAAGTGTATTTCCTGTCTAAAACTTTACTTTTTGTTTAAGTGGATTAAAAGGCATGTAATAGCTTTATATACAGTGCTTAATAATTTTTAACATAGTTATGATGTTCTTTTAAATAGTTGGTGTAAAGTTCTCTTTTTTCACCCAGTCTACTTTTGTCAGTAAAAAATTTTTACTTTGGAGTATTATACCTCATTTCAAATTGAAAGACCAATGGGCTGGGGTGAGGTAGCATACCCCTGGAATCCCAGCACTTGGGAGGCTGAGTCAAGAGGATCCTAAGTGCAAGTTCCACCTGGGATACACATGGAGAACCTACCTCAAAAAGAAAGGCAGACCCATAGGATAAACTGATAATGCACAAACAGAACCGTATTTTTGATGAAAATGTATAAATCTGGTTTTTGTCTCCTAACTAGATATGTGATGTAATCTTTAGATTTTTTTCCCATTGATTTGGTATGAACAACATCTGATTCCCTTTTTTCTAGAAGAGCCATTTTTCCAGTTAAGTTATAGGAAGACTTGTTAGCATCTGTAGGCACTCATCTAATTGTCTAAAGAAGTTTTATTTTTGGCACTGTTGAAGCAATCTTTACTTTAAAGACTTTCAGTCACAAGAAGTCTAACCTCCTCTTGGGCACAGTCATGGAACTTGCTAACATACTGTGCACTGCTTGGCAGAGGCGATGAGTGCGTGCGACAGTCATGAAGAGGGAAGGCTAGTTTACCGCTACGGAGGAGAGCCCGTTGGGTCCTTTGTTCAGCCCTGTCTGAGGCCTTTGATGCCAGCTATCGCACACGCCCTGTTTATGGACATTACACATGATAACGAGTGTCCTGTTGTGGTAAGCACCAACCCAGTTCTTATGTTTACTTACTTTGTTAAATTTTGATATTTAGTTACCTGATACCTAGTAACAAAAATATCCACATACTTCAGAATAGTAGCTTAGATTTATAAGTGATTGTAGCAGTGACTTTTAGAATGTCCTGTTGTTTAAAAATGAATTTAACGTAGGCTATAAAATGCATTCATGTAACAATCCTATTATTATGCAGTACAATATGCTTAGCAGTCAGAAAGTAAACGCTGGCTTTCTTGTTGTTTTCTAGCATAGATCAGCCTATGATGCTCTTCCAAGTACCACAATCATTTCTATGGCATGCTGTGCTAGTGGAAGTACACGCGGCTATGATGAGTTGGTGCCTCATCAGGTATGTTTGTGGGCTGCTTCTTAAAATCCACATGGCTACCAACTTTGATCATTTTTATAAAATGCTCTCATTGTAATCAAAATATATACATGGCTGTTTGGCGTTTCTCCAGATTTCAGTGGTTTCTGAAGAACGCTTTTACACTAAGTGGAATCCTGGAGCGTCACCATCAAATACAGGTGACGTTAATTTCCAGAGTGGAATTATTGCAGCCAGGTGTGCCATCAATAAACTTCATCAAGAGCTCGGAGCCAAGGGTTTCATTCAGGCAAGAATCTAAATTTTCTAGGTTTCTTTCTGAAGTTCAGTTTCAAAGGAAGACTTTCCAATCTGAGCCCTAGTCTCCAGTTAGAGCATTCAGCTGTTTGCCCTTCTGTTGCTCAGGTGTACGTGGATCAGGTTGATGAAGACATAGTGGCAGTGACAAGACACTCACCTAGTATCCATCAGTCTGTCGTGGCTGTATCCAGAACGGCTTTCAGGAATCCCAAAACTGCATTTTACAGCAAGGAAGTGCCTCAAATGTGCATCCCTGGTAATGCAATCTGAAAATACTTTTATCATTATATTAATTCACACTAAAGTGTTATATCAAATTGTCTAAAAAATATGAATGTGGTTGAGAAAAAGAATTAGAATATTTTTACTGTATGGAGCAAAATCTGGACAGAAATATCTAAAATGTTAGCAGTTTTTGAGTTGTCAAATTTTTTTTTTTTTTTGTGGTGTTAGGGTTTGAACTCAGGGCCTCACACTTGCAAGGCAGGCATTCTCCCATTTGAGACACTCTGCCACCCATTTTTTTGTGTTGGGTATTTTCAAGTATTTGCCTGGGCTGGCTTTGAACTGCAATCCTCTTGATCTCTGCCTCCCCAGTAGCTAGGATTATAGGCAAGAGCCACCTGCACCCACCTTTGTTTGTATCTTAAACATTCCCTTTTTTCCTAATACATATAAAGTGAACATGTGTCTTTTTTTTATTCTGGACAACATATATGTTATATTTCTCTATGTATGTAATATGTGTATTTATAAGTGTGGATTGTGTATGTATATGCATACATATTTAAACAAAAGGAAAAATATTCTAACAATATTTAAGACTCTTCATAGTTCATCCCCAACTAAATTCCTAGCTCTGTGTCACTCTGGTGTTTCAGCCGAATAAAGATTTTCACTGTTACCCAGAGTCTTATTTCTCTCTGTCCATGAACCATACATATCCTTCAAGGACCAATGTTCCACCTCTGAGTGATTGTGCTCTCCTCTAGACATAGCAAATTATAGTCTATGTCTCTCTTTTTTCTTTTTCTAATAATTTTTTGATGGGGGCTGGGGTTTGAACTTAGGGCTTTGCACCTGCAAAGGAAGTACTTCACCACTAGTGCCACATCTCCAGTCCTGTCTCTTTTGACACAAGTATAAAATACATCCCTGAAATTTGTCTTTGTTATTGCTTAATTTTTTATAGATGTGTGTATTTCCTTACTGTTATAGATGGTATTTTAAAACATAGCATGCCCCTGCACAAGCCACAGCTATTTTTGATCGACTGAACAAAGATTCTCATATATTCTGTATGTGTTGCTAGTTTATAAATTTATATAACATTAAAAGTTCCAACGTGAAGAGTTTTAGGGTGAAATATTCATTACTTTCTGTAACTGTTCATAAAGTTATTTTCAGTAATTTGTCTCGTTCATAGCTTGTAAATGTTCATAATTTGGATTTTTTTTTTCTGGCACTGGGGAAACCCAGAGCCTCATGCTTGCTAGGGAGGTTCTCTTACCACTTGAGCCACTCTGCCAGCCCTAATTAGGGTTTTGGTTTTCGTTTTTGTTTTTTTTTTTTGCTTGTTTGTAGTTTTTAGTGCTGACAGTTGAACCTGGAGCTTATGCGTGATAAGTATGGATTCTACCACTGACTACTCACAGCCCCCATAGTCGCCTCTGTAGGACTCAGACACTGCACAGTATTTCAGTAGGTTCTGTTGGTCATCCTCATAACATTTCGATTTGTCTACAAAATTGTGATTTTTCACTGTTTCAAATTCTGTTATGTTAGTATTTCTTTTGTATGGTTAGTAGTATTCTTATTTAAGTTTTGAATGTACACTAAGATAATTTTTGTTAAAATTTTTATATACTCCTAGGCAAAATTGAAGAAGTAGTTCTTGAAGCTAGAACTATTGAGAGAAATACAAACCCTTATAGGAAGGATGAGAATTCAATCAATGGAATGCCAAACATCACAGTAGAAATTAGAGAACATATTCAGGTATTTGGGACTCACATCTTTCTACCATGGTTACTGTTTAAGGACATTAAAAGTATTTGTTGAATGCCTTTTTTATATGATTTTTTCAAGCTTCATGAAAGTAAAATTGTTAAGCAAGTTGGAATTGCCACAAAAGGGCCCAATGAATATATTCAAGAAATAGAGTTTGAAAACTTATCTCCAGGAAGTGTTATTATATTCAGGTATGTTAATTAGAGTTCAAATTGTTGACTTTACTTATATTCAAAATAATTTGCACATCCTGCTAACTTTGAATGAGTTACTCCTAAAAATTAAGCTTTTTCTATTAACACTTTTCAGAGTTAGTCTTGATCCACATGCACAGGTCGCTGTTGGAATTCTTCGAAATCATCTGACACAGTTCAGTCCTCACTTTAAATCTGGGAGCCTTGCTGTTGACAACTCAGACCCCATATTAAAAATTCCTTTTGCTTCGTAAGTATGCCTTATTTTGTAAAGATTTACCACTTTAATAACTGAGTTACTACCAAGCTGACATAAGCAGTTTAAAGGGTCATTGTGTTCTTGCTACTCAAAGTATGGTCCAAGGATCAGCAGTGTCAGCATCAGTTATTTGAACATTTCACCCCATTGCTTTATCAGCTATGTGTACTCACAAGGGTTTTCATGAGCTTATGCATTTCTCTATAGATATAGATACATAGGTGCCTATATATGCACATACACACACAGTTTTCCTGAACTATTAGGGACTAAGTTGCATAATTTTAAATATTTGTTAAGCTAATATTTTGGCCTGTTTATATTTATTTGATGAAATTAATTTTATTGGCCCATTTTCCTATTGTGTTCAATTTTATTTATTGTTTTTAAAGAGTTTTTATCACTGAAGATACTAATTCTTAATTCAAACTGTTTTAGTAAAGTAACTGCATTCCAAAAAAATCCACGATGAGCAGGGCATGGTGGCATACGTCTGTCATCCTGATTAGGCAGGAAGTATAAATAAGAGGATGGAGGTCCAGGCCTGTCAGGGCATAAAAGTGAGACTCTATTTGAAAAGTAACTGCTTTCAACTCGACTGTTGGAGTGCCTGCCTACCAAGTGTAGAAACCTAAGTTCAAACTCCAGTACCACAAAAAAGAAAAAATGATTAAGTGATTGTGTTTCCTAAGATTCCACCTCACCCCTGTTAGAATAGCCATCATTAGCAACATCACTAACAACAGGTGTTGGCAAGGATGCAGGGAAAAAGGAACCCTCTTACACTGTTGGTAGGAATGCAAATTAGTACAACTACTCTGGAAAAAAATTTGGAGGCTTCTTATAATCTAACATTGATCTACCATAATGATCCGCAATACGACTCTTGGGGATATACCCAAAAGAATGTGACACAGGTTACTCCAGAGGCACCTGCACACCATGTTTTATTGTGGCCTATTCACAATAGCCAAGTATGGAAACAGCCAAGATGCCACCACTACTGACGAATGGATTAAGAAAATGTGGTATCTATACACAATTGGAATTTTATGCAGCCATGAAGAAGAAACGAAATGTTTATCATTCGTTGGTAAATGGATGGAACTGGAGAAATCATTCTGAGTGAGGTTAGCCTGGCCCAAAGACCAAAATCGTATATGTTCTCCCTCATATGCGGACATTAGATCAAGGGCAAACACAACAAGGGGATTGGACTTTGAGCACATGATAAAAGCGAGAGCACACAAGGGAGGGGTGAGGATAGGTAAGACACCAAAAACTAGCTAGCATTTGTTGCCCTCAATGCAGAGCGAAACTAAAGCAGATACTTTAAAGCAACTGAGGCCAATAGGAAAAGGGGAAGGAACTAGAGAAAAGGTTAGATCAAAAAGATTAACCTAGAAGGTAACACACATGCACAGGAAATTATGTGAGTCAACTCCTGTATAGCTGTCCTTATCTCAATAGCAAAAACCCTTGGTTCCTTCCTATTATTGCTTATACTCTCTCTTCAACAAAATTAGAAATAAGGGCAAATATAGTTTCTGCGGGTAGTGAGGGGTAAGGAGAGAGAGTGGGAGGGGTTTGCGGAGGGAAGGGGGGTAGAAATGACCCAACCATGTTTAATGCACATATGAGTAAAATAAAAATTTTTTTTAAAAAGTGATTGT